CGACGCGTATTGCATTGGTTAATTTACTGTTGACATTCTCGGTGGATGCGATTAGAGTCTATGAAAACACAATCGTGAAAACTTAACATGATTAATTCATCTCCAGTCGCTCGAGAATATTCTCTTCGAATATCGAAGAATGTGCACCATTGGCCAGATCTTCTTCAACGGGTTTATGAAGAACAAGTAGCTTTAGAAGATATGTTCACAAGAGGCACTACTGTTTACGGAACTGTACGGGTCAACAACATTGCATTTGACAAACGAGTCTCCGTTCGGTTTACCATTGACCGATGGAGAACATACTCGATAATCAATGCACTTCATTCGATACATCATGCAGATACTAATACAGATTGCTTGCAATTTAAATTACACATACCAAAAGAAGAATTACAATCACCGCCTACGCGTCTTTCATTTGCAATTTGTTATCGGATTAATCAACGAGAATTTTGGGATAATAATTTCGGTGAAAATTATAATCTGGATGTCATCGAGCGGTAAATAACATCTAGACAATAATGTCTTTCTATCTATGTTATATCAGTAATACATTAGATGCATCATCCAAGTCCTTTAAACAAGATCAGTGGTTGTATCGACAACTTGCTCAAGACTATCACGCGATTTCCGATGGAAGAAGAGATTTATGTGGATTGAAAAATCTTGGTGGAACGTGTTACATGAATTCAGTTTTACAATCATTATCAGTGACTGCATCGTTAACTGATTCTCTTCTAATTGATCACCGTATCGATATGAACGACGGAACAGTACTGAGAGAATATGTGAATTTGTTATATTTACTTCGTTACAGCGATTGTCGTGTTCTATCACCGAATCCGTTCAAACAAATTTTTGGTCATTTGCACAAAGCTTATTTGCAAAATCAACAACAAGATGCTCATGAATTTCTTCTCCTACTGTTAGATTGTTTACATCAAGATCTGATCCAAGTACGAATGAAAGTGATTGTAATCATATAAAGATATAAGTCCTTCAATTCGTATAGATCAAATCGAAGAAAGAGGATCGAAACACGTCATTAATTCTAGATTTATTTTATGTATGTAGCCTTTAGTTGCAAATATACTCAATGTAATAGTTATATTTTCAGGGTACCTACAGAACAACAACGACATGTTCTATATGTAAAAACATGTCAATCAATTATGATCCTTTTCTTTGTCTATCTCTTCCGATACCATCAATGCATCACTGCACATTAGAAGATTGTTTTGTAGATTTCGACACTGATGAATCTTTAACTGACGATCAGCAATGGTTTTGTAAGATTATATGTTAATTTCGTCCGTTCATTCGTCAGTTTCTCTAAGGTCCAACATGTCAATGTCTATGCGACGCAACACGACGATTAGAAATCGAGAAGCTCCCGAAAGTTTTAATAATTCAATTGAAAAGGTAAGACGAAATGCAATAGAAACATGCTCGACAGTATCATTCTGTCAAGATTTGAATTGAATTTCGACCAACAGTGGGTGAAAAACAATAGTCATGTATATTATCCTTTGGATAGTTTTGATTTGAAACAGTACTGTTCTTCCTCTTCATCTTATGCATTATATTCGGCTATTAATCATAATGGCACATTGAATGACGGACATTACACGACCTTCTGCCGAAATCTATCGAACGATTCATCCGCGTGGTTTGAATGCGATGATGATAAAGTCGAATATTCTTCTACAGATAAACTATTGATGAATACCAATGCCTATCTGCTTTTTTATATTCTCGAACGCAGCAAAATAAACGAATAGGACACTATTCTTTTATTTCAAAATGCCTTTGTTCTTAGTAGGTCTACTTTGACAGATATTATAAACTACATAATGAATTACTAATATGACAACAATTACATTCCATCAAATATGAAATTCTAACCAATTGATATGTACGTACTTTGCTACTTTACAAAACAAATATTTACTAGCTCAAAGCCACATGCATTATGGCTCTTGACTTGTGTGTACTTATGTCTAATACAATGACAAATGAGATTTCGTTTATAAAATTTTCCAGTTCAAGGACGAGAGTCCATTTTGTTTTTTGCTAACAAATAACGTTGTCAGATTACTAAGATTTCATCATAAAAAAATGAAATTCAAATCAGTGATTATATTATCGAAAAATCTATGGATACGGCGTCAATCTTGTTTTTTTCTCGAATAGGAAACCTTTGCGATGTTTCTATTGGAATTCCGATGATAAACAACCTTTGATTGCTTCCCAGAAGATCAGATATGGTCTTGTCTCTATGATGACTCATTGTCGTGCCAACAAGACAGCGAGACATGTATGACGTAATCATTGCGTAGGTTTATTATTCCACTACTCCTGATTATAGCAACTACTACTCATAGGAAGAAAATGTTTGTAACAAATCTTGCGCAATAACGTCTACACAACATTACGTAATGCGATGATAAAGTGCATTTCTCTCGCTCTCTTAACATAAAAAACGGAAACTCCAATGATAATAAAACACGGTATCTTAATTTTTCTACACGATTAGTAAAAGAGCAGATCGAATTCCACAGCCGTGATTCATTTTTCTCCTTTTGCACACCAGAACAGGAAAAAAGAATTTCATCATGTACAAACATATATATATATATATATATACCTTCACTGCGCATAACATTTTTCATTCGTATTTCTTATTACTTACTCGTAACTTGACTTTATCTACTAGATTATTCAAAATGACTTTACGTGTCACATCCACGCTTCTAAGGCGCACAAGCTCGTTGAGAAAAACAGTCGCTACCGTTCGAAAGACTTGGGAGTCTTCTCCTTTACACAATAATGACGACGCGACGTACGGCTCCAATGAATTTATTCATCTACAGTTTTTTGTCGATGATAATTATCAAGCAATAATCAAATGTCTTAATGATGGTTATCAAGTATGCAAAGACATTCTCAGTTACCTCCAAGCATATCACGATCTGCAACAGCAACACGCTGAAAAACTTTCATCGTTTACAACTGAATGGATTGCGAAATTGAACCAGCAACCAACGATCTCATCGTATAACACAACAAAGCGTGCTCAAGCTAAGATCATTCGTTCGCCAAATAAACTCGCCCAACTAATCGAAGCTCGCTGTAAAGATATGCAACAAGTTATAAATACCTTTCGTGGACAAGTCGAACGATTGTATCCAAAAGAACGTTTAAGTCCTGTTCATAAACATTATCGAGCTGAACAAGTTAAACGATCGTTCAAAGCAGCTCGTGCCTCTGTACTCAAGCTTTCCGAAGCACTCGAAAAACTCCACGAACAAGAAGAACAGGCCAAGAATGCTCGACACGCAGCTGATGTTCAATGTGAGAACCTTAGTCTCGATCCAACGGCCACTGCAAAAAAAGTGACCAAAGCGAATGATAATCAAGTAAAACGACAAGTGGAATTGGAAGCTATCCAAGATGAAATTGCACGAACAGAAAAACGATATGCTCAAGAACAAGAGACCTACAGAGAAAAGGCCATGGAGATTTACAAAGAATGTCGACAATACGAACAAGAACGATTAGATCAAATTCGCGACATATTGATTAGCTTTGCTCAAGCAGCTCATACACCGGATTACTCCGACGGTCAAGATGAAATATTCGATGATCTTATCGAACATATCAAAACCCAACAGAATTCTCTTGATGATCTGAACTTTTGGGCGAAAGTTTATGGTGTGACTTCATCGGAGAAAGCAACATCGTCCGAGGAGGCAAAAGATGAAAGTAATACAACCACCATTGAATCTCGAAAAACGAAGAAACCTTCGAAAAGCGATAATGACACTTCCAGTGCAACAGCAACTAATACACGTCAATCGGTTGACGAGGACGAAGAAGAACAATCAACAGCCAGTTCGAACAAAAACAAACAAACAAAGGTGAAGAAATCAACAGCTGTTGATAAGAAAAGCAATTTAGGCAATGACTCAACCACCACCAAAATCTCTTAGATATACAGCACATAGTTGACCAAGACCGATCTAGAAAATGATGATCTGCGTTTTCTGTTTTGTATTTTTAGGCAAGAGTTTTTTATATCAATGTACAGTAACTGTTGAAACTATTTTTTTGTTATAAAATATGTGTAACCCGTTTTTCTGTTGTAAAAAAGATTCTGGTGAATTTTGTATTAAGTAAAAGAATAATAGTTACATTTTCATTCTTTCTTTGTTTATACAGAACTAAGACAAGAGACAAAGAGCAACATCTATCCAAATACGCTTTGCCACGTTTAGCCTATAATCTTTGTACTTTAAACATGATCGTTATTAATAGCTGTAAAAGAATAAACCGAGAATTTATTTTTATTTTGACAGAAATCAAATATCTCCCAAAACAATGCAATTGTATTTTAATTAATAGCAGACATGTGGTAGAACTTCTCGTTTTCTATTTCTATTATTAATTGAGTCTTAAGTGCTTGAGTGGGGTAATGTTTAATGAAGTGGAATCAACAGAAACGGAAAGATCGTTCAGCATTTACATGAAAATAGTTTTTCATTCTATGTCAAAGATTATGTAGGCTATTACGGTACTTAGAACGATTACTTCTCGAGGCTTAATACGATTAGATAATCGACAGGATGTTCGAAATAGTTTCTCCGAAATATCGAGGCATGAAAACTCTAAAACATAGGAAATTCTTTTAATAGAATTAACCTCGAAGATACATATACATTAAGATCCTTCTTTCTCTTGGTTTTTTCCTAAATATAATCGCACACGAGATGCGCCGTTCTGTTGTTGCCATGTATCTGGAGAAGAATGAAGTTCAGTTTCGATTTGTATTCTTTGTAGTTTTGGTTGTGCTGTCATTTCGTTCAAAAGTTGTTTTAGAAATACATAAATAAGGGATCACAGAGTAGGAAAAAAAACAAACGGAATGGTATCACACACAGATACATATACACACAAAAAGAACATTTAGATTTCTATAATAAATAAAAAAAAAATATCTAGGAAAAAGCATTTTGAAATTTGCTTGCCAACATATTCAGTGTTGGCCCTTGGGTCAGACTTGCCGGCAGTTTTTGTAGACTAGCAGGTAGTTTTGATTGTAGAGATTGACTTGTCATTGCAATGGTATTTTGTATAGAGTCCGGTAGCTTGTTTCTTAGATTAAATGTATTCGAATTTCGTGTACCAGCGGCAGCAGTATTCGTTGTTGTTGTTGTTGTTGTTGGACCTTTACCTGGTAGAGTGCCATTACGCACTGGCAAAGAGCTGGAAGATGATTGACCGGCATCGAAACTTGACGGATTACTGTACGACGAGAATGAAGAATTATTTGCACTAGCTGTTGCCAAGAGATTTGATGTCGAACCTTTGTCACCATATTTCCTCTCGTAGTATTTTCGAACGACATCAGGCGTCGCTGGTGCGCTCGAACCACCGGTAGGTCCTACTGATAAATTCCCATTAGCAAGATCAGGTAAACGACTGGACATGCCTGGATTCTGTATCGTCATTTGCAGTTCATGAAGTTTCTTTTCCAATTGGAAATTCTCATTTTGAGCAGCCTGCAGCTCACGCCTGAGAGATGATGAAACAAGAAATAAGATATCGAGAAAATGTTAAGAAAATATGCATTGCATACATGATCTGCTGCTTTTGTTTTCGAACGATATCATCTAATGGTGAATATTCAGGTGAAAACATTAGATGTGAGAAGAAGATCTCGATTTCTATTGTCACACAGTGTTGTTCATTCAGATATCCACGTTCAGTTAACTAAATATCGAAGATAACGGAAGTAATCGAAAGTATTGAGAACGTACCTCTTCGACGTCCAATGTGGTGCTGATTTCTAAGCCTTCATCACTGTCTTTTTGCGAATAATACTTTGTAACTGGTTTTTGAAACACACTTGTAGTTGTTTTCGTATCACGATGATTACGTACTGTGATATTGAAACATATCGATCGTAGATAATTAACTGGAATCTTAAATATATCTGAGTAGTATAAACGTATGATAAAGCATTGTTCTTCTATATAGGCTTCTACAGTCCACGCTTGTTGATCTTTATCAAGAAAAGATACTGGGATAGGATTGGGTGCAAATGGATTGACAATAATTGGGAAGACAGCTAAAGAAATATCATCAATGAACTGTTTACCGACTTTCGGTCAAACTCTACTTACTAACAGCATCTTTGAGTTCAACAGTTAGTGTGAACTTTCCATTTGTTTGTAGCAATTCGCGTATCCGATCAATTCGATACGGCCGGCATAGACCGTGAATATCGGTATAGTTGACTTCATAGGGATTACTATCATTCGGATTTGTTGCTTTTTTCTCTTGATTCGGATCCCATGTATAAGATCCAGCGGTTATCTTCACTCGATATGTTAACTTAACTGAATGATCACAGGATGTTAAACGTTGAATGAACAGCCGGAAGTGTCCAAGTTGTCCGACACTATCCAATTTCGGTTGAATGACAACGCACCATTCGTAATTCGAATAGAAAAAAGACGGTGTGCCAATTTGGGCATCAAGAGGTTGTCGACTCTGTGTTGGTTGAATAACGTGGGCATATTGTGGATTGATTAACTGTGGTGGTAATTGTATTTCCGTGAGATACGAAACAACCAGATTCTTAATTTCTAATTCACATTGAATATTACCCCGTTCATCCATAAAATCCACCGAACATAGACGATTGATTGATGTAAACGACTTTCGTCCGTGCAATGTCACCTTGCTCGTGAACTTACAACTTTTCTCCACAAACGATTCATTTCGTGTAAAATGCTCTCGACATAGTAATGTGACACTTAAATCAAGTGTCATCTCTAATGTTTCTGTATCACGACTACGATGCAGCAGAAATGCATTTAACTGATCGCCGTTTTTGACGAATGTTAACGCAAATGGAACATTTCGACAAATGAACTCTCGTGTAATTAATTTTTCATCAGTTCCTAATAGAAATGAACTTGGAAGAATGAATGTAAACAAGCTGCAAAGAAAAACAATGAATTCTAGTTAATATGGAAGCTTTTCTTACTTCGTGTTGAACTTATCTTCAAAGGAAACGAAACGTGTAAAATGTGCCATGTAATTGAACTATATCATATTCTTGATCTGAAATAAAATGTACGTGCCGTTTAATTACGAAGACAGACTATTTTTACGAGCAGTTGAACATGTGCAGTGAAACGTAACGAGTGGCATGAATAGCTCGAATCCATGTCGCGCTAGGTCCACACGTTTATTCCACAAAAGCACTATTATGTTTATCTTAAGTAGCACGAAGAAAGAGTCTGTCTTTCCTTTGAAAAAGGTTTTCCAATACTTAACTGAGATGGCAATTTTCTAGCGTACAGTCGGGGCTTTTTTATTCTGTTTTTGGATGAATTATTCAATCTATCATAAAAAATGCTATTTAGAGACAGAAAGGAAAGAGAGTCTCTTGAATTGTGTTTCTTGTTTTGTGGAAAATCTCGAGTATTTCTGTAATTACTCTTGTTTTTGTGGGAGAAAAAAACATTCTCATCTATACAATACAAATTATAATCGATTTGTTCTTAGAGATTGAATCTGATCAATTGTGAATAGCTGATTTATTATTTGTATGAAAAAAAAAGAAGAGAAAAGAATGAAAGAAAGAAAGTTAGATGATTAATCCAAACATTATCATTAACGAGCCTATCTATCATTTCTTTTGTGTTTGTCATATTCGTTTACATCATGAAAAATCCTCAGGGAATTGACGTTTATAGTTAAGGTTTTATTTCGCAACACATGATAAATAATACACAAGTTTCTTCCTATGATGAATGACTAGCAGTAGAAGAGAAAAGAAGACGATCAGATAGTAACTCCGAATCTTCTAAACGGAAAGCGAGTCGACTGATAATCATCACAATTGAATCATATACTGATGTGTAAATAAATCTTCTCTAGCAGTGTGTCCAACAAGTTATTCCGACATTTCTTCTGGGGAAAGAGTTCTTGACACATAATTGGTGATGAGCAAAAAGAAAGAACGAGAAAGAAGAATAATTGCCAAGATGCTTCTTTATGAAATGAAGAACTATCTAATCATTCTAGGCAAAATTTCGATGCCAATGAAATAAATTAGAGGGGGTCAAGAAGAAGTGAATCGTTTTGTTTTTTATTTCAACTCTGATTAAAACGGATCAATGACAAGGAGAGAAAAATATGATGAACGAGAGAGAGAGAACATCTCTTTTCTTTTTCCGCTTCTCTTTTTTTTGTTCGATGCTCACTTTTGAAGCCTTTCAAATATTGGATCCCAAACGGATGTCCGTCTCAAATGAGCTGTGCCTTTTCTCCAGCTAACTACACATCTTCGATGATCTTCTCGTGCTATCATTATGAAGATGAACACGCATTCACTTTGAACTATTAGCCAGATATACGACTAAATTGTTTCACCACTGAATAGAATATTAATGTGTGAGAAAAAAAACCGAGAGAAAGATAAAAATAGTTCATTTATTAGAGATTATATACTTACAATTCTCAGCATTATCATTGTCTATTTATCGATGTTCATGCCTCGAGTCTTTCTCTGCTAACCGATTGTGATCATACTCGTTGGCTGCATGAATGCACATACATATATATATATATATATACAAAAAAAACGCGAGTCTAGAGAGAAAACTATTTTTCTTCCTTACTACTTTGACTACTAGTGATGCATGGTAAAAAAGAACTGAGAGAACATAAAGAGAAAGAAGAAAATCTCTGAAATCTATTAAATCAACGTTACTCGGCATCGTCGTTGCTGAAAGCAAAAAGAAAAGTGATGTTAATATGTGTATGTTTAGATCTTGATATTTAAATGTTCATCAGTTTTTCAAATAGTTTTCTTCAATTATGACGCATGATTATTTGCATTGCCATTGTTCTTTAGCGTATAATCTCGATGGTTTTTTTTATTTAAATTAATGTTATTTTATTCGACGAGTAAAATAGGTGAAAAGAAAAGAAGTCTCGAAGTCTTGCCTGAGATGATTTGCCCTGTTGGTAAATGAACGAACGAACGAAGAATGGAATTGTTTCTCGCTCCTTTTCTTGCATGTTCTTCTTCTTCTTCTTCTCCTTCTTATTTTCCTCATTCTGTCTTTAGATTGCCGTCATCAGAAGAATAGTAAGGAAAAATTGAACATGGCAACATTCTGAGCTTTCTCCTTCTCAGCAACAAACGCACGCAAGGGCGCTAAAGTGAATGAGAAGTTTCTATACGTAGGCAACGCTAGGAGCATGTTAGATTTAGATGCTAAGCGTGAAGAGGGAAGAGAGGGGAAAGCAAGCGCGAATAAGAAGAGAGAGAGAGAATAAGACAAAAAATGTTTAATAGATTTTCTGTATGCGTGGCACAGGCTAAGCATCGTTGTTGTCTCGATAGTCATAAACATATGAAGACGAGTGCGAGAATAAAAGAGCCTAGTAAACTTGACTGAGTATGTTGCACACCCATCCGGCCGAGACCATTTTCCTCTCTTCCTTTTTGTCGACGATTTTTTGGGTACGTCAGCTTTCTGCGTCGAAAATGTAAACTACGGCCTTTTCCTTGTGTCAGTCCACACGAAGCACGGCAAATATCATTACGAATACAAAGAACTATCTCACAGTCAACATTGACACACTATCGTTTGAGTAGAGATGTATATTGACAAGTAAAATAACAAGAAAAGGAAACCCTAGTTTTAGCGGAACATCATGAGCAAGAGAAGGAGAAAGATTTTGTGTCAGTCAACGGCAAATTCTATTCAAAAGAACAGCATTGACATTGTGATCGTTCTCGATGAAAATCGATTATGTTATTCATTGTCTTATTTATATGATAATTTAATTATCTATTCATCGATTTGGTCTAATATGTCTTTTGCATATGAAATAAAGTTTTATTGGCAAGGAAAAAACAAGTGTTTGCATTACAGTTGATACTTTCTTTGTATCGATTGCTAGAACAATTTGATGTATTGATGGAGATATCCTTTTGCTTGACTGAAAATGAAACTGACATATAAATCAACATTGTCAGAATGAAATGTAACGTTAGTTAGTCAAACTCTATTTATCTCGACGTACAATTGATAAAGAGCATTGGAACTGACATTCACTAATAATTCATTCAAGAGAAACTAATCGATAACGATCTTGATGACAAAAACATCAGCGATGTGTTTTTTTTTGTTTTTCTTTATCTTCTTGATACATTTCGTCATACTCATGCTTCACAAGTGAATTTTTGTGTGTATGTATCAATTACCATTGAAATTATTTCATCGGTGCAGTTTCTTCCTTTTCCTCACCAGTGATTGATGAAAAATAAAAACGATTTTTAATTCTTTTTTATTTCTTCTGCTTCAATTTTTCTACTTCTCGTCATCTCCACCTATCAACCCACAGGTGCTCACTGAGAGTATTACTTTGTTTCTATTGACAAACGCTTTATTTTTTCAATTTTTTTTTCACATTCTCTCTTCGCTCTTGTACAGAGTTGAGCAGGAAAAAAACTAAGAATGGCATTTTTTTTTCAATCAATGGTATTCTTGACTAGCATAAAATCACTTTGCATGCACAACAAGAAATAAACTTGTAATCGTTTACAAGAAATTTACTAAACATGCCGGAATTATTTACTCTGCAGCCAGCAATACATAATCGGAAAAATCCCAGCTTTCGACAATCGTCTAAGCTTCTCAATTATAATCAGTCTACAAAGAGACCATCAAAAAATACATACCAAGAACGAACTGAGATATATTATGTACCTGAAACGACGAAGAATGGACCCATATATAATAAACAACCACATAAATCACCTACACCCTCGGTACACAGCGATGATCTAATACCAGATGATGAGCCAGGTCTGTATCATTTACCAACTTCGAACCGAGCTAATAGACCGACGGCAAGAAAAATCTATTATAAACCTCTCCGGTATAATCCAAAGTATGTGGCACCACGGAATAAACCACTCACGCCTCCAGTTCGAAAGGCAAATCCCGCACCAGCACCACCGTTAACAAAATCTACGCGAGCATCGACACCACCGATGAGAAAGTCGACTCCACCGTCGTCGTTACCAGGTGTTCAGTCCTACCCGACACCCTCGCCGTCGCCACCGACTGTTGCCAGCTATCAACCATTGATTCTGGGTGCACCTGAGCTGTACCATTTGGACCATGATAAAGCCGTCTATCGTCAACCAACACCAGTACTCCAACAACCATATAAATCGCCATCGCCGTCACCAGAAAAATCTCATCGAACGCCGCCGCCGCCGGTCCAAGAGCAGCAGCCGATACTTCGGCAAACCTATCCTCTATCTCTTGGCCCTACTGAATTGTATCATTTAGACCGTGTAACAACGAGCAATTCACCCGTTCAACCTGAACCGAAACGTCTCGAACAATCGTACAAATCACCTCCACCACCAGTGCCATCGGCCAAACAATCTGCTCTGCCTCCACCACCATCAGCTAAATTAACCACACCACCGCCACAATTAGTAACACCGATTAATACTGGAGCTGAATTGTACCATCTAGATCAGGAGGATATTGAATATCCGCCAGTGTCTGAAGAGCCGAAACGTGTAGAATCATCTTACAAAACTCCACCACCAGCATCTGCTCCTAAACTGACTGCACCGCCGCCTGCCAGTATTGGACCAGAATTGTATCATCTGAATAAAGACGATACTGTGTACCCAATAGTGTCTGAGGAACCAAAGCACGTTGAACAAGTACACAAATCACCACCACCACCGCCTATTCAAGCAATTTCTCCTCCACCTCAACAGCTGATGTCGAAATTGAATACGCCACCAGTTCAACGACCAGAGTTCTATCACATGGATTTCAATGGAGCAGATCCAGAACCCATTCTTGCTGACCCCAAGCCTGTTGAACCGTCTTATCATTCACCTTTACCATCAGCTAAAAAGTCTTCTCCAGTACCAGTCGATGTACCTCCTCCACCATCTCAAAATGGACCAGAATTGTATCATATGAAAGTTGATGTAAGTGACAGTCCGCCAGTTCTTCAAGAACCACCACATAGAACACCTACTCCGCTTCCTACACCAGTGCTTAGTAAACCTGCTTCGGCACCACCACCACCACCATCGCCACCACAGAACAAACCCGAAGTGTACTACATAAAACTTGATGAACGACCTGAATCGCAAGCAGCACCCCTGTCAAAGCCGGCAACTCCTAGAGTACCTTCCGGTAAAAATCGAGTTTCACCTATGCCTTCCACAACATCGCTTAGACCAGGCCCAGAAATGTACTATTTGCAAACAGTTGTTGACGAAATCAGTCGACCACCATCAGTTCACGAAGTCGTTACACCAGAGAAGGCACCTACACCGAAACCAGCCACTCCACAACCCATTCTTACCAAAGCGCGAACACCTCCTCCGAGAGTATCATCACCGCCACGACCACGACGTCGTACACCAACACCACCACGCCGGCAACGAACACCCACACCCCCTCGGCGACGACCTCCTGTCGGACGCCCAATACGCACCGCTGCTCCTCTCGTAAGTGATACGTTAGAAATAACTATTATGTCTCCCTTTCATTTCCCTTTAGGCTCTTCCGAATCGTAAACCAAAGCGACCTGTTTATGATGATGATGATGATGATGATGTAGCTAATATTCCAACTAGACGGCCGTCATTTTCTACAGCGCTTCAAGATGTATTAACATCTGATCGTACTGTACCTTTATCGACTTCAAAAGCATCGGACAGCATCATACGAAGTATGAACAAGTTTCGCTTTCCTGAAGAGTAAATTTTTATTTCATGTACATAAATTTATGAATATAAATACAGTTCAAGAAATTTGAAAATAGCTTTTCATTTTCTTTGGTATCTATATATTGTCAAGTGTACGTATAGAAGTATTTATTCCTCGTCAGGCTCATTTTCTTCATCCATCTTGTGGCATCGTGTTAACTCGAATAGGCTCAACACGGATATCTACAAAAAGAAAATATGCAGAAAAACGCCGTGTAACATCAAAGGTAATAACTAACAGATCCGGATGGAACAGCTGGAAGTTTGAAAATCGATGGAGGTTGAGTTAATCGAGGTTGTCTTGTACCTAACGAATTATTTCATAAGACAAATGTTTGGAAAACAAAACTCGTGTGTCTAAGTTTACCGATCGAATGAAAATATTGATACGCTCGAGGATTATAAACATGATTCGATTGTGATGGCATAAACACACCAGGTAAACACAAATCTATGCCGAGAAAGTTGTTAGAAGGTGAAAAGAAATAGTTTACCATCGTATGCGTTAGTAGACTGAGATTTATAGAGTCGATGTTGAATTTCCATTTGACGTTCATTAATTAAAGATGTTTGTCTTGAAACTTTAGTCATTGATTGATTTCGATGTATTAAACGTTGTTGCAAATACATTTCATTACGGTCGAGAAACTAGAAAACGATCCACTTTATGGTTTCGGGTATTATGATTAGAAAATTTGTTAAGAGAAACGAAGCCTTTCTCTTTGGCATAGTTATTTGATCAATCTGAATAAAAGTGCAAATGTATTTGTTTTATTAGCTTATTAATTATTCAATAAAATACACATTATTTCGCACTTCAAACATATATAAGCACCTCGATACTTCCTATCCCTATTTTACGATAAGTACAATCTACAGGTTAGCAATGAGTCATGACGGAGTCGATTTAGCTTTCTATAACTTACACTATCTGTTGAGTACCGTTCGGATGAGTTCCTTTGCTGACGGTGTTTGTTTTTCGATTCTGATTTGGGTCGTTGTCGCCTAGAATTGTAAATTAGTCAGTTACATTTGCCGGCCATTCCCCTAACCTTATGTAAATGTTTGACACTCCTGCATGACGCGTTTCCAAGATATTTTCACTACTTTTTGCACCATCGACCATTCGACTCGATTGCCGTGAGAGCTTCTCGTGCACAAGTTCTGTTAGTCGTTGAATTTCTGCCCTAAGATAATAATTTTCAAAAAGTATCTTCAAAAACAACATACTGGTATTCGTCATGAATTTGTATAATTTGATTTTCATAAGCAGTTGTCATAGTTTTGATACGATCATTATCAATCGGTTTAGTTTGCTTCATCGCACTTATTTGTGCCATTGGATTTTCCTCCATCGAAACGGTCACTGGAAACAAAATAGCTTGGCGTTCGCGTTCAAGAATATTAAAGAAGTATACTCGTAGATTTAGTCGCTTGAGTATTTTCGATTTTGTCATACCAGAACATGAGTAAAGGTAATTCAGCTACCGGTTCATGTTGATCATCGTAAATTGCGAATGTCCGCGGAGGATTCGATAGATAGGTTTGATAAACTTCATTGGATGGTTGATCTAGATCAAGTCGAGTATTTTTTCTTGGAACATTATTATGATCCATAGCAATGAAAGGAGAAAAGATTCGGTTGTTTAAAACAGGCAAATCCTAAAGTTTTGTGTTTTTTAAATACTTATTGATATATATAATCTTACAAGTATTTGTAAATCTTCAAATGAGAACACAACACATCCAAAAAGTTTTCTATCGCCAAGAACATCGATTCTGATACTATTTGTATCGACGTCTCTCCGCTTTATGTTTGACACGGGCACAAAAAGTTCGTCGTACTGTTGCCGGTCGATTTCGATATTTTCTTTCGTAGCTAAACGTATGAAATGATCCGACTAACTTGAATTAATAGAGCACAGTTTATCATTACTTATTGATTTGTTGGTTTTCTAAATAGAAAATATTTTGATTACGAAGATAGGATCACAAAGCAAATACATTGAATGTCCATTCTTTTGTTGGATAGGATTGCCCTTGTGAATGAACAATACATTGAAATCTTGTTCGCGTCATTTCTATCGGTCGATAGATACGCATGAGAACTAATCTACAATAAGTATGACAGTGAAATCTGAACAGTTATATGTTGGAGTTTACTTTGTTGAGAATTTATCATCAGTCGAGGTCTGTTGATCGTCAAAATCCGGTTGTGCCTGTACTTCATTATCGACCATAACTATCGGTGAAGATGACTGAACATGCTCTGATTTTGATGTTCCAGCACTTTGATGTGGAGGAGCTTCATCATTATGCTGAACTATCTCATCTTGTTCCGGACTCTAGAAGAATCACATTCATTTCAGATTTCTTCAATTAAGTGTAAACAAACATGATCAATCGGTTGATTGGGCTCTTCTATTTCTGGCACACTGCTGGTACTGTCATCTGAATCGTCTTCTTGGTCTATGTTTTGTTCACCAGTTGATTCTTCACCGTCGGAGATCTCCGGTGAAGGTGACACTGCTCGTGGTGCAGTCGTATGAAGCCAGTGAATCACATGTTCATAGCCAAGTGTGGCTTTCTAATAACAAAAAATTTCCATAGAAACGAGTTAGTTTGAGTTGGTCTTTTACTTCATGGAAAGTCTGGAGACGAAATTTCCATTTCCGCACAGAAGATCGCGGTAGAGCAAGACGAAGATACCTAAAATAGGGTATAAAGTTTCACGTCAATCAAATCATAAAACAAACAATTTCTCCCAATTGTCAATAATTTTTTTCTCGCGGTGTTCTTCGGCATGCTTTTCCCCAACTGTAATTCTTTGTAGAGCAACATCCAACATGCGTTTTTTCATTTCATCACTATCGTACAATCTCTTGAAGAGAAGACATCTTTGATTGAATAAATCATTGTGAAGTTGAACAAGATCAATAAGTTCGTAGACAGGTATCTGCGTTTGAGAGTAAGCCCGATAGAGTCGTGACAGAACTAATGTGATACGTAGTAGAACTTTGGCTGGAAGACTTTGAAGCAGAAGTTGATCTTTCATTTCGAGTAATGCAAACATCAAATTGTCAATCAGAGCAAAACAAGTCTGAACATTATCGCATAACATCAGAAATCTATTAGCATTGATATTCGTGCCGTTTGGGATTATTATTTCATCCATTTCTTTCTTCAATACTTCAAATAACAATGCAAATTCTTACTTTTCTTCATTAGAATAATTCTTCATTGATTTGGCTTGTCAAAATTCTTTTTTTCTACCTTCCCGGCATGCCATGTCATATATTCCAAGGCAAACCATGACTACAAGCTGTTTGTCTTTTCTTTAATTAAATGTATACATATATATTTCTTTATTTAATCTAGCAACACAAAGACATACAAGCATAATTAAGACACAATTGTACAATATACAAACAGTAGAGCAAGAAGAGAAAAAAGGAACAAGGCAGATGAATATTTAAGATGAACGACGGTGAGAAATAGCGTCGAAGACATGCACGCGTATTGTGTTTACATTCTAAGCAAAAAATAAGAGTCTACTGTTGCAAGCCCTTGCAGTGTTGAATTAGTTCACAACATGGAGTGATGATCGGCTGATTCTTCATCAAAGCCGATTGCTCGATTTCGAGCTTCAAAATAGAATGTATCCGAATCATTATCAGGTGCGGGAATAAATGGTACAGGAGCATTGGCAAGATTGTCCCAATCAATTGTATCAAAGAAAGGCTCTTTTTTCAAATCTAAATCAATGGGTAACGTTTGAGTATATAAAGATACGTTTCATGCTGTTGCTTACCGTCTAGTTGAAGTCGCAAATTAGGATCGTAACTAAGTAAACCTTTGATGACACTGATGGCATCATCGTCTAACTGACTTTCGTCATCCTCTGGCCATAGAATTCGATAGTTTAAAATATTGGAGATTATTGCACGTGGACATTCATCAGAGAAAGGTGTTACACCAACTAGAAATTGAAACAAGCATACACCGAGTGCCCAAAAATCAACGGCTGAAGCTAGAAAATAAATCCAACGTCAACAATTAGCTTATCTCGAAAGATTCTCGATCACTCACTGTGATTTTCATCTTGTAGTAAAATCTCTGGACCTAAATGAAGTTTCATCACCATATTACAAAGATAAAGAATCTATTCGAAGGAGGTACTCACTGAGGTAGTCTGGTGTACCCAAAACAGGTCCTGAAACGTTGGGATGTATTGGTGATCGAAGAAAACTACTTCGAATGGAAGTATTATTGGTTACATCACTTAGGATTCGACCAGTGGATACATTTTGCGCAAGACATACCGACTAAATCAATGAGCGAAATTTGAAATCGGCTGGTAAATCCTAGAATACAAACTTTAACTGAACCATCATCCGTTGGTAATGAATGATGTTGTATATTATCCACCGGTTCTTCTTCGATAGGTTGTGCTTGGATATTATTAATCGATGATATGTCCAGTGAATATCGTATAGGTGATAAACATGGTGATGCTGAGATCGGTGCAGCAAGTGTATTTGCTGTCGTTGGATGTAGAGTTTGTCCCATACCGCGAAATACACGAAATTGATTCTGATGAGCAGGCGATGATGCTAATAATCTTGAAATGGTTTTCGGATAGATGCGTGGCTGTTGCTTCACAGTTTGTAAAGTCGTTGGTGATCGTCCCTTAGGACTACAAAATAAAAAATCGGATATATTGCTTGTGCTAGCCTCGTCATGTTCGTCGAGATCATCATTTCCAAATGAAATTGGCTCATTTTCCGGTATACATAAAGGTAACGGTTGACGATATACACGTAAACTGCAATCAGCAATACGCGACGAAGAAAACGAACGATGATAACTATTGTTAATTGGTATATTCTCAGTCGATGTTGCACTAGCTGGATTGCTATGCACTGATGTTGATATGTGTAGGTGCTCTGAATCTGATTCACTCGATGACTAAAAAATAATCGAGTGAATACGGTC